TGTAATATGTGGGTGTTACATTGTAGTGGCAAAATGTACACCTCTGCCTACCCCTTCGGGGATGAAAAGCGTGATTTTATGATGTTATTATGTTTTTTTTTTTCTTTTCAGATGACCAAATAATAGTGTAGGAAAGTAATTGGCTTAGAGAAGTATAAATAATGGACTAAACTTGTAATCTTAGTGTGGTGTGTTTGTGTAAGCAGTGCTATTTAACGTGCTGAAATTTATGACAGTCAATAAAATAAAGTGACTGTTTTATATAAACTACTCCTAAATGTTAGACTATGAGAAATCCACTACACTTGTTCATACAAAAATCGTCTCTAAACTTAGGAAATAAGGTATATAATGCAGTTAGTGTAGAGTGGTCACCGGTGACTGCTTGGGCATTGACCAGCATCCATTGTTGTGGAGGCAACTTGACACTTTTTGTTTCTTAACCCATAAATCCCCAAGCGGTCACCGGTGACCACTTTCCACTAATATTACATTATATTATAGACCTTTTTTCTAATGTTTAGAGACTACTTTTGTATGACCAAATTTAGGGGGTGGACCTGGATTTCAACGGGTTAAAAGAGATGATAGAGAGATTTAAGCATATATAAACTAAGGGTTACAGATCACACATAACAGCCTATAAGAGGCCACTGCTGGCCAAAGGCCTCTTGCACAGGGAAGGCTTGAGATTGAGATTAATCACCAAGCTTGATTTCAAAGAAAATTAGTCTTCTTAAAGCCAGAGTGTTGCAGCTGAGGGAACGAGATCTCGCTAGACGACTTGTATAGCTCTGTTTCTTTCCCTCAATGGAATCATTCTGACTTCAGGACGTTATAATAACCCCGCAGGTTTCCTCACGATGTTTTCCTTCACCGTTTGTCAGTGGTGTCTAAATAACATTAGAAAGTACATATAACTCTGAAAAAGTTACATTGGTACTTGCCCTTGGTAGGTTTTGATCCGAACTCTCATCCATAAGAAGAGGGCGTCGGGTCCTCCGGGCCACCACGACTTTGGGAGACTAACATGCTGTTTAACCCTTATTTGGAGGAGGATAAACCTGGATTAAGTTTCCTTTTTAGTAGTTTAACTGGCAGATCTTTCATATGTACTTTTAATTCTTTAAACACGTTGCCCCACAATGATTTTCTCCCGTGTCGTGGGTGCGTCTACAAACATACGAGTTCACATACACATGACACCTAGACCTGGAACAACTATCTGTAGGTTACACAAAGAGATGCTCTGTACGGGAATCGGACCCGCGACACCTTGCGCGGTAGCCACTTGCCCAGCTACCGCACCAAACGTGTTTTGAAGTACTAATCCGAGTTTTCTTTTTTTTTTGTCATGTGCTAAAGTGTTAGTTATGCTAACTGTAAATTCTTTCACACTGAAACAGCCTGTTTATATGTACTCCTCTGTCTATTTGTGAAAAGTTAAAAGTAATGTTACAACATTAATATTGGATTATGGTAAAAAAGTTTATATAAAACAGTTACTTAAAATTTGACTAAGGATCGAAGTTTGTATTCAACATTTAGGACTAGTATATCGTGTATAATATCATTAGGTTAATAGTATTTTAAAAGAACTGCTTCATTAGAAGGACAAGTTGCGAAACGATGGACACCTGGAACACCAGAGGATATTTATTATTCCTTGTTGTCTATTAAAGTCGTCACAAATCAATACGACTATCAATACTGATAGTGAATACTTTCATTCACTATCAGTACTGATAGGGAATGAAAGTATTAACTGTGTATTCATATTACAAAGGTGCTCTTTCATAACTGTAAAAGCAAAATAGGTTGCTTATGGGACGACGTGCTCCATCGTAGACCGCATCATCGCTTAAAACCAGGCAAGAAAGTGGTCAAACGTCGGCCCATCAAATATAATTTAAAAATAAGTTCTTGGCGACTGGCAGAGCAAACAAATATGTTTGTAATTTCATAGCAGTCTGCGATGTTCGCTGCACTTTCCCCTCCTCTGGGTTGATTTATTAAAAATAACTGCTAATTCCAGCTTCCACAGATCATATTGTTGTGGATGGAATAGAATTAGAGCTTGCACTCTCAAAAAGCCGGCTCGTTACTCCTCTGGTGTTGCGGGTGTCCATGGGCGGCGCAGATTGCTTACCATCAGATCATCCATCTGCACGTACGCCATAAAAAAAATCTAATAAAGTAGTGTCTTAAAATAACCCTTTGTGACATGAACTTATAATAAGTTAATACAAAAACAAGAGAATGTGTAAACTCTTGCAAAAACAATGACTATGAGTTATTCTATTTGAAAACCATGAAGGGAATATGATCCAATAAAAATACTGATGCTAATAAGTTACAATTCTTTTATCTCACGAGCGCGGGTGAGCCATAGTTGTAGTTCGTATAGACACGCGCGCTTGTGTGCGTAACTCATTCATTGCCATGCCGGCCGTAACTGAGCGTTCCCGAACGTACGCAAACAAAGACAATGCGCATTGTGCATGTACCCACAAAAGTACCTATGGCGCACCCGCCGCGCTCTTGAGATAAAATATTAATTGTACCGATGAGGCTTGACAACGCGGGAGGATGACCTGTTAAATAAAACTGAAGTTTTTTGAAGAATCACCCATCCCCTTTGGGGGCTTAAAGACGTCATATATAACTCAATACTAACATGTTTCTAAATAAAAAACTAGCGTACATAACAGAATTTTGTATTAATTTTAGTGTCTACACGTGACCCCAAAACAGTGGGGTCAATAGCCCCCTCACTTTTGGGTTGTTGGGTTTGTGATCCGACGTATTTTATTTATTTTATATCTATACATTTTGAAATTATGTTGTATTTTTTTTTCATTCACTAGAACATTTTTTTAAATTTTAGTGTTCATAATTGAGGTTTGTAATGTCACAGTTTTAGGGCAATAAATGCAAGGAATTTAGTACTAAACAAGTTTTTACAATTAAGGCATGTTGTTTAAAAACTAGGTAATATGTTATATCTGAGATCTAAATAAGGTATTTATACATTTTATAACACTATGGGGTCAAAAGACCCGGGGGAAGGGGTCAATAAGCCCCTTAACTTTATAAGCGAATGTAAAGTGTTTTAGTTCAATTTTTAGCTTAAGTATTTGTTATTAAGATTCATTTTTAAGTAAGTTTGGTTTTTAACAAAGAAAAGTCGAAATCTACCGTTTAAATTGACATTAGCTGGTCTCTATTTCACTCCAAAGTTACTATTGATGCGGAAAGTTAATGTCTGCAACAATTTTCCTAAAGTTAACTTAGCAACCTGATATATGCAGTCATGAATTTAGGCTCCTGTCATAATAGCCGTTCTCAATTCAATAGCTTTGGCATGAAGACCCTTGTCCCACCGCCGGCGAGAAAACTAACCATTAGCTATTTTCTCTATCAAGAAACGTATACTAGCTGTTGCCTGCGACGTCGTCCGCGTAGAATAATATGACTTGGCAGAATTCATCAAAGTCGATTCAGTGGCTAAGTGAGATTTATTGTGAAATGAATTGATCATGGTTTAAAAAAAATAATAATACCCCAGGAATTGTGACTCGCTGCCAATTCTAGCTACTTGTTATTCGTTCATCGTTGCCGGTGAGACAAAGAAAACTGCCTTAATCTGGATTTTGATATTATTTTATTATAGACTATTATAGAGTTTCAGTCAAAAATTGAATATCAATCCGTTGGTTTTGTGTTAACATCGGATATTAATTTGAACCCTTAGACTAATCCGTATATAATTCATATTTAGTTAAAAAATATGTATCGACTGCTTTTTGTTTTTAAGTTGTGTTTAATTATTTAGCAAAAAATATCTCGTAATATCGAAATGTATGTAAATTGTTGTAAATATAATGTGTTCTCATGTTACTGTTAAGTGTAAATTACGTTTAGATTTTAATTGATTTAATACATAGTTAAGAAACAAAGTCTTTGTTTTATTTTACGTAAACTAAAAAGCATGTAGCCTCTTCTTACGTTCATGTATCGTACCGAAAATCCATAGCATATTTATACAAAAGTAGTGTCTAAACTTCGGAAATAAGGTATATAATGGAGTTAGTGTAGAGCTGTCATCGGTGACCGCTTGGGGTTTGGAGGTTTTTTGAGAGGGGAAAAGCATCCAATGGTTTCTCCCACCCGGATGAGGCCACAGAGAGTGTCAGACTCTTACTGACTAAAAACCACCCTGTTCCTACTCCTGCACCTCGAGCCGGAGCCCCGGCAACCCGTTAAGTCCTTCGTGGCTCCGTATCGGCATCAGCCCTATTGGGCCCCATCTGTGCTGATTCTGATCAGGCGGCCAGTCACCTGTGCTCGCCGTCCGGTGGCCCGAGATCGTCTCGCGATCCCCGTCGCCCAGTGTTTCGCGACGGCTGGGCGTGAGTAGGTTCGTTCCCTCATGCGCCCCGCCTCCTTAGCTAGCAGTACTGCTTCGCAGAAGGAGGAGATGGCATCTCAGTCCCCCTCGCTCCGTACCATTGTCTGAACTAGAGCCAGACGCGAGAGATTGCCGTCGCCGATCATATCCCTGAGGAGTAATGTCTACGCTTGGCAGGCAGGATGGAGATCACAGAAAACCTGTGACCCAGAGCAGAATCGCTGTCTGATAAAGCTATGGGACAGTCAAATGTAGGGTCCCTTAGCACCTGCACACCATGGCGGCGCAATCAGTCATCGCTTCCAACAAAATGCATACAGCTCTATAGAGAGTTACTCACCTGGTGTCCACTTGGTTGCGCAACCAATTTAGTGGCGCTACCAACTACCAGCTTTCACAAAATACCATAATCTATATAAATAAAACAGACGAAAACTAGGCAGTTCTGGAAATATTACATACATACGGGTCGAGTTGATAACCTGTTTTCCGGCGAGAATTGGTGGCTCCCTGTCCGACCTGAAACAGACGCATACGGCGCGTCGTAGTCCGCACGCGCCTCAAAGAGCCTTCAGACCACGGATGGGGCCCAACAGTGCCGATGCCGATTCGGAGTCGTGGAGAACCTAACGGGTGACCGGGGCTCCGGCTCGACGTGCAGGAGAAGGAACGGGGTGGTTTTTAGTCAGTAAGAGTCTGATACAGATACTTCCTCCCGCCTCATTTTCCCGCTTCAAAAAAAATCCATCCCCAATTGACATTTCTAAGCTTACCCATAAATAATCAATCCTTTATTATGACAAAATTATCTCGTCAGCAATAATAACAAATATACATTCATGTATATAAAAAGAATAGCCCCTATTTCATTTAACCTTTTGTTAATACGTACCGCCCACGTGGGATTAGCCCACATCGCAAAAGGTCAGTTAAGGTTGCATCAATTTTATCGTAGGTAGGAAGGTAGGTATGTATAGAAAAATAAATACTTACAATGTTTAGGTACCCCTAAAATGTATCAAATCTGACTTTTTGTGTAGTCACCCACATGCCGTCTTAGACTACGCTGAGGTCCTTGAGCATGCAATAATTCGGGGCTATTTTGAAACGATATTTTTTTTTAATATTGCCCTACACTGGATTTTCTCCTGTATCGTGGGTGCATTTACAAACATACAAGTGCACATACACATGACACCCAGACCCGGAACAACAATTTGTGGGTCAGACAGAGAAGATCCTGCTACACGTTGCAGGGCAGCCGGTTGCCGCGCAACCTATAGCGAATTGTCGATCCTCAGGGCCCCCTGAGGATTGAGACCCTGGGAATGGGCTCCGAGTGGCCATTATGATAACGAGGGTACTGCCCACCTGCGGATAACGCAAGTAAATACGCCCATTTATATAAATATTGTTTAAAGAAAAAGATTTTTATCGGATAAGATATAACACAAGAAATGGAAGTTAGGTGTAATTTTTTTATGGGATAGGTATGTCGGCAAATGAGCAGACTGATAACGTGATGATATGCAAACAGTGCCGTACATGGACACCTGGAACACCAGGGAAGTTGCAAATGCGTCTGCTGGTCTTGTTAGAGCTTAGATATTTGAGGGTTGAGGGATAGAGGAAATAGGTAATAGGCGGCCTATCAATGACAAATGCTATCTGCATCTTGGTTATATGTATAGGAACTTGGGAACAATGAAAACTGTCATTACATGCATTCCTCAAATGACGCAATGTGAACAGTAAAAGTCAAAATCATTTATTTCAATTAGACCAGGAAGCCACTTTTGAACGTAAACAAAATAAATTAAAAGTGAAGTTTTGCTCATTTCAAGGCGTAGATTCCTATGAAGAAGGACCGACGCGCAAGAAACTTCATAGGTTACTCTTTTTCAATCAGGTCCACAATACAATTCTCTAGTTACATAGTTTCATTGGTTTTGTTGGTTACTCTTACTTATTATTTTGCAATCCCTACAGAAATTTCCCAACATGTGACATTGTGATCACTTTCTCAATCTTAAGCAAACAAGATCACAAAGGCAAAAAATATATTTATGGACACACCTACATCCTTGACAAATTATCCCTATCTATATTTAGCGAGTTGACCCTTCATGTTAATACCGAAATACTAAAGGTGAAATCGATATTTAAATATGGGCTTAACATCTAGTATCGATTGCCTACATTCAAATATACGGTCTAATGAATTGTATTAGCAATACTTCTTTTTTTTATTTTATGTAATTAGCCGGTAAACGAGCAGACGGATCCCCTGATGGTAAGCAATCGGCGCCGCCCATGGACACACGGAACATCAGAGGCGTTACAAGTGCGTTATCGGCTTTTTGGGATTAGTGATTTGAAAACTGTTGGGAATTCAGGGATTGGGGAAGGGGGAGGGGGAGTCGTTGGGCCTCCGGTAACTTCACTCACACGACGAAGCACAACGCAAGCGTTGTTTCACGTCGGTCTTCTGTGAGGCCGTGGTATCACTCCGGTCAAGCTTGTTTCGTCATGGGAGTTAGGTTATCGGATGTCTCTCTAATCCCATAATGCCCCACAATCCTCAAGTTCCTTAACCACAAAAGGCTGGCAAAGCACTTGTAACGCCTCTGGTGTTGCGAGTGTTCATGGACGACGCCGATTGCTTACCATCAGGTGATCCCTCTCCTCGTTTACCGGTTTATCAAACTAAAAAAAGCATTCCTTTTCAAAAGGTCAAGCGACGTTCTTGTAACTCCTCTGGGGTTGCAGAAGTACATGATTAGAGCAAGGACGTTGAACAAAGACTGTGTCATCTGGCTACTATTGGCTATGTGCACGACGGTGGCGACGCGTAGCGTTTACAACATTTGCGGAACCTGTCAAATAATAACAATGTAAACATTATAATTTTCTTTGCAAATATAAATAAAATCAAAAATTAAAATAGTATTGTTGACATTATTTAAGTGCAATTTATTCAATAGTTTTACTGTAAAATGAATATAATAATAAAAACCGGGTTTGAAACTATTACACATAATATTAGTTTCCAACCACAAACTGAGACAAAAGGCAATAAATTAGTATTAGCCGAGCATGTAAGAAATATGGAAGAACTGCGACATAACGGCCAGAGCTACTTAATACGAGTCGTGGCCCATTTCTTTGCTTTGATTTTTTATTGCTATCAACACAATTGTCAGCTGATCATCCGCATTTGTTTCCAATTTCTGCACCGTGTTGTCCGCTGCGGTCGTTATCTGTCCGCCACTACTCGCTTTGCACATAGCCAATAGACTTACACGTAGAACACACACACATTGACACCATGGACATCTGTCGCGTGACATGGCGCGTCATTACGCTTCATACCTTACGGTGTTGCAAGTACATGCACACAAATACTTTTTTGGTTCTTCAATCGTTTTTAAGTGACATTTTTTTTTAAGGGCGGAAAGCCATCGAATGACTTTTCCCTTGAGTGAGACGGGAGGGAGTGTCAGACTCTTACTGACTAAAAACCACCCCGTTCCTTCTCCTGCACGTTTTAAGTGACATTACGGTCACATTTACTTCAACGTCCTTAGATTGGAGATGATGGAGTAAGGAAAACCGGTCCCTATTTGCCTTCTATCCTGTAAAAACTCTGTCGAAATCATTGTCACAAAGTTACCTAACTGTCTATAAACAGATTTATCTACAAAGTAAATTGACTTGGTGAGATAACAAATAGGTAGTTAATAATAATCAGTCCACGATACATCTTTGACACTGAGTACATCTATTTGTAAAAGGTAAATGTCGTACGTTTTAAATTATTTATGTCTACTGCTCGAATTCTGAAAGACTACTCAATTTTATTGTATATTAAAACCCGTATAAATTCTCTCAACAAACTAAAAACGCTTTAATTTAACTTTTATATAGACAAATTACAGGTATAACAAAACACTTCATGTTGACACAAACATTCTCATAGATGGCGCTAATATATATTTTGTTACTTATATTCTATTACATTTTAACAAATTTGAAGTACTTATATGTCATGCCATCTCTATCATTTTACAAAGAAGTTGTAGTAACAGAACTATACATAAGCGCGACTTTAAATTGAGTCGCGTTTGAGTATTGCGACATTAGGTTATTATAGGGCAGGGCTCGTTCACGTAACTGAGAGCTTAGTATGAGTTTTTTTTTCTTTTAAAGTATTCGAAACGAGACGGCGTTCGGCGCTTTGATGGGTTGGTTCATTGGCAAACGTAAAAGAAACTCGTACGAAGGCCTCTGTTCGATAAGGTTGCTTGACTGATCCCAAGCCACAGTCAGGGCCTACAATAATTGAGTTATGTGAAAAAAAATAGGCATTGCGGTTGAGGGTTTTAATTAATGGCTTGGCAAAAAGAGTTTAGGGAAATTGAGGTTAACTTAGCACTACGACTCAATCGGTTTTGATATTTGTTATTTTTACAGAGTCCAAAAAAAGGAGAAGGTAGGTACTATGTTCGGATGATTGTTTATTAATGAGATAATTATGGTTCGAAGTGGGTGATTCAGTC